TGGGGCCAGCCACAGCTTCTCTGGGCACCCTGTGCCAGAGCCTCAGCACCCTCACAGGGAACAGCTTCTGCCTAAGAGCTCATCTCAATCTCCCCTCTGGCAGGTTAAAGCCATTCCCCTTGTCCTGTCCCTACAGGCCCTTGTCCAAAGCCCCTCTCCAGGTTTCCTGGAGCCCCTTTAGGCACTGGAGCTGCTCTAAGGTCTCCCCTGAGATGCTCCAACTTGTTCAAGAAGACCCTTGATGATGCCCCCAGAAACAGCCAATGCTCAGTGGGATCCAGGAGCTCCTTTCCCTTCTGCTAGGTGATCACCAGGCCTGGAAACCCACTGCATCACCTCGACACCCACAAGTGCTACCAGTACAAGGGCTACATGATGGAGGACTCTTCCTCTTCCACGTGCATCCAGTGGAGGCTGCAGCAGAAGAGCTGGCTTCTGCTTACTGTCCTGGACAAGTGTATTGCAAGGATGAGCCTCCATGCTGAGCTAGAAACTCCTCGTCTCTTCTCCCAAGTTACAAGTGATTGGACAAGAGGAAACGGCCTCAAGCTGCCCCAGGGCAGGTTTAGCTGGAGCTGAGGAACAATTCCTTGCCCAGAGGGTGCTCAGGCATTGGAACAGGCGGCCCAGGGCAGGGCTGGAGTCACCGTCCCTGCAAGTGTTCACACCCCGTGTAGCCGAGGCCTCAGTGCCAGGGGTTAGTGGTGGCCTTGGCTGTGCTGGGAATGGTTGGACTGGATGAGCTTAAAGGTCTCTTCCATCTGGCTGATTCAGTGATTCTGTGGCAGAGCACAGTGCCAGTGGCCGTGGGGCCAAGCTGGAGCCACAGGGAGGTTACCAGCTTCCAACACAGCACGGCTACAGCAGCAAGCTCAAGCAGTACAGGTATTTTTGCAGCCAGTTCCACTTACAAACCACAGGCAAGATGCCTCCTGCAATTCTGAGTCTAATCCTGCTGCCCACGTTTAATAAAGCGGAACTTCAAACCCAACTGGCTCCTTTAATGCCTTTGTCTTGTTCACTCCTCAACTCAGCTGAGTGGAAGAGCAACAGCTTTTCACAAACTGCAATTCTGCTGTTCATGGATGCTTGTGACAAATCTGGATTGTAAACGCTTCTCCTCACAGCAATCCCTGCCAAGAACACAGCTTTCTGTTCTGCATCACTTCATCACTTCTTTTTTTGGTCTGGCTTTATGAAGCTGACTACTTCAGTGCTTTCATAAACAGTATGTGCTCAAAATTTTCAGACACCTGATTCTGCACAAACATCCCAAATTCTTTTCCTATGAAGTCTTGTTTGTCTGAGGAGCCATGAGATATATGTATTTTTAAATGTGCATACTTCTAATGTCTGAAGCATTACATATTTTTTTTTCCCCTCTTGTGTCTCTCCTGAGATTATTTATTGGAATGGGAGAAATCTCCAAGTCTTGCATTTGCACTACTGGGCTGAACTTCAGTTCCCAGGGTCTTGGCATCCAGTGTCACTAAAGCTGCCCTGGGACAAGAAAAAACAACAAACTCTTAGGAAGATTTAGGGAAACAGAGACGTTTTCCTAAATGTCCAACTTCACCAGTCTAAACTGGGTTCTCTTTTGGGGTAGCAAAGACCACAAAGAATTGGCAGTTATCTGCATCCGATAAAAACCAATGTGTTTCAGTTGACTGCAGCTCTTTAAGGTCACAATGTTAGAATGCCAAGTTTCATTTAAATATCTCCATTTCTGGAAATACCAGTTCATTTCATTCCATCAGCTAATAATATCAGTTTCTTTAATGATGTTTATCTAGGCTCTTTCCAGCTATTCCATTTTCCTCAATAACAAGCTGCACACCTGGTACTAACCCTTGCTGACTTTCCTTACACAAATCCCTGGGTATTTGCTACCCTTAACAAAGCATTTGCTAGGGAATGCTAAGATTTGCCAATTAACTGGCCACAAGTTTAGTGGGTGAGTTAAGAGAGCCAGCAATTTAAGTACTTCTGCAACTGTAAAGCACTTCTAACACCTAGTATCTTCTAAGACAGAGATAATTTGGTCTGAAGTTTTTCTATCTTGGAGTTCTCCTCAAAGCAAAGCCTCTGCATTTCCTTTGTATTCCCTCAGCTTAGTGATTTTAGAGCCAAGAGAGGAGGAAAGAGGCTGCAGCAAGGACAAAATAACATGTTATCATAAGAAAGACTGATGCTACAAAGGCATATGTGGAGGAGTGCAGGTATCCTGCTCCTGGGCTTTCCCTATGGGAGCCGCGCTGTCGCCTCACTGCAGGAGCATGCCCTCTGTTTCTTGCAGATGACTTGAGTCCCATGTACCCATTTTACTTTGGATTCCTTCATAAAATGCTGCTGAGGACATGCTATGAGGGGAAGGAAAGCTCAGCTCTGCTCCAGCAGCCCTCTCCTCTGTTCCCACAACAGTGCCAGGCAAGAAGAGACCTTTAGGAGCATCGCGATTGCAGCTGGCAGGTCAGACATTAGGACTAGCACAGCCACCTATGCTTTGCACCCAACAGAGACACCAAGGGTTGCAGATGACAAAGGCACTCATTGTTGGTGACAGGGAGGAGGAGATTTCCTTCACACTCATGGTGTTAAATTATCCACTTCTTATTTAAGAGGAGACAGAGATACCTTCACTGCAACTGGTGAAATCACAGGTTGATGGACTTAAGCTCAGACCTCAGGAGCAGAAAGCATATGGTGTGGCAGAAAGCCACATCCCTCAGCCCCAAACAGAGTCTGTCAGCAAATCTGTTGGCCAAGAAGGTGTTACGGGAAAAAACTTGTCCCAAGAACAGCTCCAGGTGGCAAGAGGAATCTCTCTGCTACGCCGGGTAGCACAGCATCGTCTTTTACCGTGCTGAGATACTTGAAGCACAAATACAGACACTTCCCACAGGAAACACAAACATTTCTGCTGTGGGCTGGTTTTGTTTAGCTCATGTTTCACAGCCAGACTGACTGGTAAGTGGGTTCACTGACCTGTGGCACATGGGAAAGAGCAGTAACAGAGTCAGCAGTGTCCGGAGACTTCCCTTACAGAAGGGCTGGAGGGCCCACTGCAGGCTTTCACCACACAGGCTTGGGTTAGCTGTGGGGCTCAGCTCCAGGCTGCCCTACCATCCCCATAGCTTCTTAGGGATGGGGAGCTCGACTACACAGCTAGTTATATCTGTACTAGAACTTTAAAAGGTAGAGATACATGCTAAACCTACACAGGCACTGTCCCCTATCTGAGTAAGTAAAGGCTTTATGTAGTCACTTATAGTACACATGGAGGAAGATTTGGGGCAATGACTCAATCTCAGTGGCTAACACAGAGAAAAAACAGCTGGGAGTTTTTTACCCCATGTGCTGCGGGGCAGATGTGAAGGGTCCTGAGAAGCACTGCCCCACACTGCCCCCCAAACCCCACATACAGAGAGATCCAACAGCCCCACGCTCTGTGATGCCCACAGCAGCACTGTGCTCCAGAGGAGTACTTACTCTGTAGCCATCTTTCCTTCCTCAGCTTCATTTTCTCTTTTTTGGAAAGAACTGTTTTTTCTTCTAAACCTGGAAGAGAAGAGAGACATGAGACATGGCTTCTGCACACAGGTTCAGTGCTGGGCTCTTCCCAAAGACACCATTCAACCCTCAATGCTTTTGAACTTGCTGGCAGGCTGGGCAGGCTGCAGGCAGACTGGGAGCTGCACCTCAGCTCAACTTCTACCTGAACAAACCCAACTTTGCTGTCAGTTAGGAAATAAGGAACAGGCAAGTACATCAGAACAAGTAGCTCTTTGAGATAAGCTTTTCAAGAGACCCTTGCCCAGTGTCCTGCATGAACGTGGTGTTTTCTTCTGAAGACTAGCCAACTGATGGGAAGACCTACAGGTTCCACAACTGGGAGCAAAGAACAGGTTTTAATCTGAAAATACACAGGCTCATAAAGCTAGAAAGGAGGAAAATATGGGCTGCAGATATGCAGGAGGGGGAATGGTGACCTGACATAGCTATTGGCATCCCCCTGCCCGAGCAACAGCCTCACTGCCTGCCTAGACAGCACGTGTCAGGCAGGGGGAGGACTGCAAAAGGTCTGAAACACTCAGATCTGTGGCAGCCCTAAGGAACAGTCCATTACAAACAGCTTTTCAAACAGGTTATAACAGGCAGGCTGCTATAACCAAACACAATATCAGAACCCAGCTGTTGATGGCTGAGATCCAGCACCAAGTAAAATAATGACACAAACAGATTTACTGGAGATCTGTTGCAGACACTATAAATTTTTATCTTATCTCTGGTGTTTAAACCAAAATTGACTTCAGTCAACTTTTCTCCTGAAATGTGCTGGGAATACTGCTACAGGAATGGCAGTGGAGGAACAAGCTCCCCAAAGACCACTGCTCTTCCCTTAGATTATTCTTAAGCCTGGAAAAGAAAAGAAATACCAATTTTCTCCTCAGAAGAACCAGGAGAAAGGATTTCAATGGAACTCTGAAAACAACTTATTGCGGACAACTTCTCTGAAGCTGCAAATCTTTCAAGGTGATTTAAACAAAAGCAGTATCGTAATCTCAGTAATTTCAGTGGCTTAAGATCAGAACAAGCCTGCTCCATAAAGCAAATAACCAGCACCAGGTTTTGAGTTAAGGCCAGGCTGGATGGGGCTTGGAGCAACCTGCTCTAGTGGAAGGTGCCCCTGACTGTGGCAGGAGTTGGAGCTGGATGAGCTTTAAGGTTCCTTCCAACCCAAACCATTCCATGATTCTATGAATATATGAGTTTCTAGAGGGCACAGCGAATGAAGCCTTAGCTTTCACTGCCTTGAGTCCCAGAAAAATGGGTTACAACAGTCAATGCACCCAAGAAGTGAGAAATAAAATTATCACTCACTTACAAAGTCCAGGGAGGTCTTGATGGGTTTGCATATGACTGATGCTACTATCCATTGTTCCATCTCCTGCATAAAGCACCAACACACAAGAACCCTGCTATACCCAGACCAGCAGAACAGCCCTGCTCTTCCATAGGACCAGGCAGTAACAGAGACAAACATCCCATCATGTTAAGGGCAAATTTCCTCAATCTGCTGTAGTATCAAAGCAGATCCTAAAACAACTAATTGCATGTTCCAATAACCAATTCCCAGGTCATAGAATCATAAAACCATGGAATGGTTTGGGTTGGAAGGGACCTTAAAGCTCATCCAGTCCCAACCCCTGCCATGGGCAGGGACACCTTCCACTAGAGCAGGTTGCTCCAAGCCCCTGTGTCCAACCTGGCCTTGAACACTGCCAGGGATGGGGCAGCCACAGCTTCTCTGGGCACCCTGTGCCAGTGCCTCAGCACCCTCACAGGGAAGAATGTGGTCACCCCACATTTCTGTGGTTTCAGGGGAGAATAAAAGATGAATCACCAGAGCCCAGAACACAAACCGTGCCCGATGCTCCCTGAAGGGCTGCCCGAGCCTGCCCAGCTTTCAACTGGGGAGATGTGCCCCCTCGTCTGAAAACACGCTTCTTACTCCCTTGGGCAAACAGCGCTCAGTGGGATTTGTTGGTGAAAATAACTAAATAAAGCACCCAGCCAGCTGGCCAGTTCTAGCAACAACAGCAATTCACATTTAGGGTTTTTCTCCTTTTCTTTTTTTTCCTCCCAAACAGCAGCAGAATATTTAAGGCAACACAAAAGCTGTTTTCTTGGCAGGAGCCCAGCCTCGCTGCAGGCCGGGACTGGTGGCCGGTGGCCAGGCTGGCAGCAGCAGATCACCAGAAGGATGCGGGAGGCCAGTTTCTGCCCTTCTGCACTGCCTTCTCCCCAGACACCTCCACTTTATGTATCTCACCTACCCCTGCAGAGGTTGTTTTGCTGCTGGAAGGTGCCAAGTTGTATTTGGCAACTTCCAGTGATGATGATGAGTGCCAAAGCCACTGGAAACTCACTGGAGAGCAACGAAGGCAGAATTTAGCTGGTTAAATAACAGCACGGGCTGTCCCCAAGGTAGTCTTTTATTTTCATTTAGCTTGCAAGCACCACGGAGATCAAAGCCCGGCCGCAGCTCCAGTTTAATTATTTTCCTGTGAAATCACAAGGGTTTGGGTTTCCCCCCTCCAGCCCGTTCCACATGTAATTTAACAGCACTTAGCTTTGAAACCTGATGCAAGGAAGAAAAGTGAGCAAACCCCTCCTGCACTAGCTGAGGGCAATTCACATCCTGTAAACTTGACAATTATTCCTCTTAGCAAGGATGTGTTTTTTCTTCCCTCTGATCTGCAGGGTACAAAACATCTCAAATATAAACAGATGATAAAAGCCAATAGTTTTTTGCCTCCTACACATCAAGTGTTTGATACCATCCCACGATTCTCAGGATCCTGCTTTCCTGGTGGACCAGCAGATTTGGCTTTTGGAGTACAGTTGAGGGGGTTTATTTGGTAAAGGACATCTTAAGACTAAAAAAAGAAATTAATATATATGTGACTGCTTTTCATAAAGGACTTCTTTGACCTTAAAAGTCCTCGTTTTATCCTTTCTAGGCATTCAGAAAGAAGCCTAGATTGGGTTAAAGCCATAACACTTCAGGCTTCCCTGAGTCCTGAGATCCCACTATTTGAGTCCACAAGGGAGAGGGTGAAAACAAGCCTCCCAGTTCCAGGAAACCACATTAACGACTTTGCCATGAACAGAAATATCAAATATGAGCAGAAATAGCAAATAAACTTGTGCCTGTGCAATGCTACGTGAACAGAGGAGGGTCCTTCAGCCCTGGGCATCTGCTTCCCCCTGTGCAAAGCTGCAGCGAAGCACTAAGTCCCCACTTTGGCATGAGCTATTAAGAAATAGCACGTAGTATTAAGTAGTATTCCCAGAACTCCGATGACACGTCAGGAAAGCTGTTGCTGCTCGAAACATAATATTTTGGCAAAACAGGGTATGGTATAAATTGAAGTTAAATAACAACAGCTGTGTTAATTTTAGCCTCAGTTGTGTAACAGCAGCAAAAAGGAGATATGCCTACAGCTGTGGGGCGAGTTCGCTAAAGAAATTCAAAGAGGACATCCAAAAGCAGAAGACTGGGTGTGTTTTGGGTTTTGTTTGGTTGTTTTAAATTACACAGTGTTACTTGTAAATTGTCTGATACCTTTTTCCACTGAAAGGGCCTGGGAAATGGGAAACAAAGTCTCCTGGGGTTAACACAACCCATTGGTGTGATCTGACAGATGCTAATGCAGAACTACTGAAGGGCACAGAATCATAGAATCCCACAGTGGTTTGGATTGGAAGGGACCTTAAGCTCACCCAGTTGCAATCCCCTGACAGGGGCAGGGACACCTTCCACTAGAGCCAGGTTGCTCCAAGCCCCTGTGTCCAACCTGGCCTTGAACACTGCCAGGGATGAGGCAGCCACAGCTTCTCTGGGCACTTTGTGCCTGTTCTTTTTCCTTCTGGAAGAAGGCCGAGGGACAACACAGGCCAGGCAGAAGGTCCTGCAGATGTCCTGCAGCAGAGCCGGTGCCCTGCCTTGCTCCCAGCTCCCAACCAAGTGACCTCCAGCTCCACTTCCCACTGATACACATGTGTCTAGGCGGCCTGTGTCACTAGTGGGGCCAAGGCTTGAGGTGGCAGGGACAGAAGCAGAGGGTTGATCTCTGGGCTTTCTGCCCCCCTTGCTCTTAGAGGAGCCCCTGGAGACAGCTTTGTACGTGATGAACAGAGCCCATGGTAGGGGGGTGTTCAGGTTTTACCCAGTCCAAGCCCTGCCACCTTGAGCAGGCTCAGGAACCAATGTTGAAAGAGAAGATGACAGCCCCTGCTGGGACAGAGCACGTTTCACCATGGATACAGCATTTGCTTTCTATGTTCCAAAACAAGCTGTATTATTTTTGTTCACGCTTAATGGTTACACCAACACGTAGGCTTTCCTCCTGCCTCCTCCGAGGAAAGCATCCTATTTAAAGTGGGGTCTGCATTCCCAACCCTTTCAGATCTCCATGTTACTTAAAGCAGAGTCTAGTCCCAAGCCCAGCTTCCCATTGGAGACCCGCAGGAGCAGCCTGACTCGTGTCCTTGCACCAAGGTCATGCCTCTGTCAGGCCTGGTAAACATCCCCAGGCTCTGACCAGCTACAGCAAGGGCACAAAACCTCCCTCTGCAGAAGAGCTGAGACTCATCTCTAGTTAGCTGCATAAGCACACAAGTGACATGCCATGTGAAGCAGGAGCAGTTCCCCTCAGGAGGTGATGGAGAAGTCACAATGTGCGCAGCAGCCTGCGAAAGGCAATTCCAAACACAAAGTCTGTCCTCCCAAGCAACATCTGGAGTGCTGCAGGCACGCTCAGTCTCTGCCACAAAGTAAAAGTACCTTCTCCTCCTCTGCCCGAGGCCTTTTTCACTCTTCAGAAGTCCCTCGTGTTCCCATGTGCTCTCTCCAGCAAGGAGGTTGACAGGCACACAGAGGATGCTCATGTGTCACTGCACTTAAAGCCACTTTTGCAGCTGGAAGGTTATTTTCATAACCAAGGCAGAAAGAGGTGACACGCCTTAGGGAACCCAGATTTCTGACCCAAGCA